TTATGGTTGCGAAATATTGCCCACCTTAAAATGTTTATTTTATTTTGTTTTTGAGTGGGTATTCAATATATTATGGTTGTGAAATAAATTGATCCCCTACTTTTATTTTTTTTTTAAATTTAAGCTGGAGGGGTCAAAACATTATGCTTGTTAAAGAAGGGAGGGGGTCAAGATATTATGACCGTAAAATATTGAACCCCCCTATATATTTTTTTTTTATTTGGGGTTCAGAATATGTCTGCAAAATATTCAACCCTTGTAAGACTTGTCGAGATGTGGGGGTTCAAAATATTTTGGCTGTTAAAAAGCAACCCCACTCAAAGGTTCATTGTGAGGGTGGGGGTAAGGATGTTACAGCTGTGAAATATATTGATCTCCAGATGTTTTGGTCATTTAAGAAAAGAGGTTCATGACATTGTGACTATAAAATATTGATGACCCTACATTGCGTTTTTGATATGGGGAGGGGAGGAGTTCAAGCCATGATGTTTTCAAAATACGGAATCTCCATTACAATTTTGAGAGATTGGGTTTAAAATATTATGACTGTAAAATATTGACCAGACTTAAAGCTTCATGGGGGCTGGTTTCAACTTACTTACCATAAATGTAGGCATGCAAAATGTTGACCTCCCTCCTTACATTTTTATTTCTCATTAGGGGGTGGTAGGTTCCAAATTTTATGGGTGCAAAATACTGAATCCCCCCTTTACCTCAGTGGTCAAAAGGAGGGGTTCAAAATAGTATGGCTGATAAATATTGAACCCCTAATAAACTTCCATAGGTATTCATTTCTGTTAAATGTTGCTGTTCCCTCCCTTACAATATACCAAATATTATATTCCAGGTATATATATATATATATATATATATATATATATATATATATATATATATATATATATATATATATATATATATATATGTATATATATATATATATATATATATATATATATATATATATATATATATATATATATATATATATATATAGCAGGGATACCTATAGTCTCATTTTCTTGCTTCCGTAAAGTGAAGATCACTACGCTTCCGGTTGTGTATAATACCCAATATATTATATATAATAACGGCCTCAGGCAAACAGTTTGGTTCTTGGGTACGACAAAACGCATGTTTCCCTCGAACCCAGTCAATAAATGTATAATATTCAAAGCGTTTCAAAGTGTTACTAACGGTATATCGATCATGAGAATCATACGTTGAAAGATCCAATGTCTTAATAAGACTTAGGTGCGGATAAGTATTTTGACACGGAGAACTACAGTTTACTTTGTATAAAATTGAGAATGAATTTGGAAGCTTCGAATTTCGACCAGCACTTACATGTATATGTATGTCAGTGGAGCATTGAGGGATTTTCCTGTTTTTTTTTTTTTTTGTTGTTTTTTTTGTTTTTTTTTTTTTTTGTTTGTTTGTTTGTTTGACATGTACGCATTTATGACCATTAAGCAATCTTTCTCTTGCAGATTTTTATCTTTTCTCTGCACTTATAAGCACTGAGTAGTAAGGAATCTTGCTAGTGCTAATTTCGACCTGTCCTCTGCACTCCTGATCGTTAGGGAATCTTTTTTGTTCCCTCACCAGCGACAGATGACCTTAGTTTGTACTGTCTCTTCCTAAGATCCGGCGGTCTCGTTGTCCCATGTATTCAGCTCTTTACACAGCAATTCCGATCAGTTTACTAGGACTGATAATTCTGTTTTCTCTGCATCAATTAACAAACGACAGAAATTGCATATATCAGATAAGTATAGATAGGATATGAAACTGGTGGTCGTAAGACGTTTTTATCGTATGCGCGGATCCACTCGTGGGGGTGTTATTTTCATTTTTATCTGAATCGTATCCACTAACATTTGTTTACAATAACTTTACAGTGCACTATCTAAATTGAAACCTAATATTGCATCAAAATTATTATGAATTTTATATATCCGATTCACGCCCAGGAAAACAATATTGACCGATGATCTAAATGTAATAAGTTAAAATCATTAATAGTTATTTTCTTCAATAAATGTATTTCAGTGTTCATTTCGACGGAAATCTCCGTGATCGTAAGGTCGTGTGTTCGAATCACGGCCGTGACTGACCTAAGTCGAAAAAAAAGGCAGCAACTGTTCCTTCGCCAAGCGCTGGGCACTTTGAAGTGAAAGTTGCGGATCCTTCGGATGAGACCTTAAAAACCGAGGCCCCGTGTCACAGTAGGCGTTGGCACGATAACGAACCCTCACTGCCCAATGGCCTTGAGTGCCGAGTAAAGGTCTAATTTTCTTCACCGGTAAATGGTGACGTCTCTATTTGAGTGAAAAATTCTCGATGGGGACGAAAATCAAAAGTCAATCAATCAATCGACGGAAAACTTTCCTATATTTTCTATGGTTCATAAATCCTCATGCGTTAAAGCTTTTAACCCCCCCCCCCCTTTCCGATGTATTTGTCAGTATATACGGTCAATCATTTAGTCAGATCATATGCTGACTGACGTTTTTCATACTAATTGTTAGACCATTATTTACACACTCTATTGTCGACGGATTTTCCGTTATTTACCGATCATGACAAGGAGCACACGGCGGGTGTGACCGGTCGGCAGGGGATCCTCACTCCTCCATGGCACCTGTTCCCACCTCTGATGTTTTTGGAGGTCCGTGTTTGCTCTGCTCCCGATCTGTATTGTTAAAATGGACTTTGACCCAAAAACATTTTATTTTGACAACTCGCAAAAGAATAATATGTATGTAATAGTAAATTAATACCATTAAGAGTCTATCTATTAATTAGTTATTTACTTTATTTTATCTTTAATATCAATTTATTTTAAACAATGAATAATTTTTCAGTGATTTTGAAGATTTTCACCTAATACCCGTAGTCAAACGCAGACAAGAACAATGGGCTTGTTAAATTGATTACTGCAAATTACAGTATCGCCGCCTACAGTAGATAAACTAGAATTAACATTGGTTCTGCTTCTGTAAAGTGGAAGATAACAGAAAAAATATATTGGACGGATCCAGGATTTTCAATAATTAGATGCATGATCAGAAAAGTGATATATTGGACTTGTATACCTGTAGTTACCTGTTTAGAATCTACAAGTTACCTGTAATAAAAACAGTTCGCTGAGGGCAAAATTTAACGGTTCTCAACTTTTTCCTATTTTTTCATTCTTTTTTTAATTTTTTAATTTTTTTTTTTAATTTTTTGAATCTCTAAAAAAATTGGAAAGTAATTATATCAATTTTAATTTGTGATATATAAAAGCAAAGTCTGTTGAATATTTTATTTAACCTACGATTTGAACTTTTCGAAAATTATTTTAATCAAATTGTTTCAGAATCATGTAAAATTTTGTTCATCATCGTCTTTTCTATAGTTGAAAGTAATTTTATTTCTTGAACTGATTTAATACGACCTTCTCAGGCATATTTCGCCAACTGAAATAACACAAGCAAGCCCATAGGAACCGAGGAACAAGGAGAGGGGGTGACAAAATAATAGCAGCTGGAAACTTCTTGCTGGAAATGAAATTCAAGTTTTTTAAGCTCTTAAAATGTTTTATTATTAATTAAGATCAAACAAATAATTACCTAAGATGATATGAAAAATGCTGACTTTCTTTGCTACCACTTAAGGAACAAATTCTAAATAGTTATGGTTCAAAAAAAAAGTCCTTAAGTTCTTTAGTCAATCTTCTTCTAACCCCCCACCCCCCCCACCACCACCACCACCACCACCTGCCGAGTGTCTTTTTACATTTTTTGAACTTAGAGAAATAACCTCAGTAATTATCCGCAATTCTCAATACCAACAGTAACTCTCAGCAAATACATGTATCAGTAATTATCAGAACATACAGTAAAAACGACAGTAAAAATATCAGCAAATATCAGAATTTCTCAGTACCAACAGCATAATATCAGTAAATATCAGAAATTCTCAAAAGTGGCACTATCAGTAATTTTTAAGGCTAGTAGTGTAACAGTATAATTATTGTTAAGAGCGCTGAATATTTGCACGTACAGTTCACCAGGACGTTTTCTTTTAATTCATCTACATGTAGTATAACAAAAAACATTATAAATATATTTCGGGTAAAATATGAAATTGTTATCTCGTGAAAACCATTGTTGACCGAGGCTAGACCGGGCCAAAAAAGGTTTTTGAATGATAACAATTTTTCATATTTAAAAAATGTGATGATAATGTTCACAAGTTTTAATAAAAAAAAAATCGCGGCGAAACTTCCATTTTCTTTAACTTTACGAAGACTATTCAAAAACAAAACATTGATATTCTCTCTCTCTCTCTCTCTCTCTCTCTCTCTCTCTCTCTCTCTGTGTGTGTGTGTGTGTGTGTGTGTGTGAGGGTGTGTGTGTGTGTGTGTGAGAGGGTGTGTGTGTGTTTGTGTGTGAGGGTGTGTGTTCCAAGAAAAGCTATGATTTAAGGTTTAATTTTTTAAGCTTTGAATATTTTTGTTTCCACAAAAATACAATAAGTGACATTGTAAGCCAATAATTACAAACTTCCTTCAATTTTGTTTATACAAATCACAATTAACTTAATCCAAACAGAGATTATTTTTTATCTTGCTAAAGGAGGTGCACTAAATTATGTACATTTTAAAAATGTTGATTGATTAACTCTGTTAGTACAAAAGTAAACATTATTCGAATTTGCAAGATAAACAAACATGACGTCAAGAAAACGTTATATTAAAGACTTCAGGCAAATAATAACACTTTCTAAGATTATATTCTTATCCTTTGACTTCGTTAACAATCATTGTTGTTTTTTCGTATCTTTGCAATGATTATCGCTCAGTAGATTTGCAATCAAAGTATTTTGATTTTAACCATCTACACATATATGCATTTTCAAATTTTATTGAAAGAGTATAATTTACTATACATGTACATATATGTGTCATAATATGTACTAGATATGAAATATGAAATGTTCATTGATTTCAGTGTTAACAACACAGATGAAAGCCTTTTTGGTCATAACATCGTCTTAAAAAATAAAGCTTTCGAAGTCCAGAGGTATTGTGATTGCTCCACAACAAAGTCAGGTTTGAATGATCAAGAACCGCTCAATAGTCACAACACTGCAAATTGTTCTCCAACCTCTTCAGCATTATTGTGTATGAAGACAACATCAAGAAATTTTACATCTACCTGTGAAACATACGAATATCGAGACAAACGTGACGTCAATGGCATTAATTTTAAACATCATATCTTAAGAAGGAATGCAGATCCCGATGACATCATGGAGGTTCCACCTCTTACTTTTGATCCTAAATTTGATCCAAACTATATTCCACCGGTAGTATCTCTGTTTCTGAAAATATTGATGACATTCAAAAGATTTAAAGAAAAATAATTGTATATACTTATACGTATGGTATATCCTTATAATTATAAATGTCTTCATATAATGTTATCTTTGATGAATGCTTTTTGTAAACAAAATTATATTCTTTGACATTAGGTCACATTAATACAGTCAAAAAGATGCTACACATACACTCATATATATATATATATATATATATATATATATAGATATAGATATAGATAGATAGATAGATAGATAGATAGATAGATAGATAGATATATATATATATATATATATATATATATATATATATATATATATATATATATATATATATATATATATATATATATATATATAAAATGAAAACACGAAGAAGGTAACACAGTAATTAAAGCATTAGCACTTTAAAGCATTAAAGCAAAATCTTCAGATGCTTTACATTCAAGCTTACTAACTTCACAAAGTAACGTTTATTATGATGTCATAATTAGCGGAAGGTCATAAAGTCACTATGACGTTGTTCTCCCAGGAGTTATTACGACATTAATTATCAAATAAAAGGTTTTTTTTTTTTATTTTTGATACGATTGATCGGTTCATAAGGCGGAACGTCTTGCGATTAACGGATTGGCAATTCTGTAATCGATTGCCTTCCCTTATATATATATATATATATATATATATATATATATATATATATATATATATATATATATATATATATATATATATTTTTTTTTTTTTTTTTTTTTTTTTTTTTTTTTTTTTAATTTTTTTTTTTCCGAAAGTATTCGAAAAGTATTTATTTAGCACATCAAAAATAAGCTAAATCGGGCATTTTTTTTTTTAAATTTTTGTTATAAGAGAAAGAAAAACGTCTTTGTAATATACAATTCATCTTTAAAAATACTGAATTAAATGCAAGTAGGATATACTTTTGTAATGTAAAATTTTAGCTCCAATATTTCGTCAAGATTTATAACTGCGTTTTTAAATTAATTCTTTTTTGTGAATCATGTTGCCTTCATTATATTTATATTCATAATGAAATCGCAAGAATTTTAAAGCAAATCAGATTAGACTCATGGATGGAGATAATAAATTATATTGAGGAAAATCAAAGACGATGGTATAATTGGCACATTTTCAATACTTGATTCTGACATGATAGCGTTTACACTGGGGGGCATTGTAGTAAAAAAAATGTGAGGATTGTGGGTATTATTTAACGATTGGGTGCGATATCATGGCCACTTCCAAAAGTGAGTTATGACATAATTTTCCTGTCTAATTATCGTCTAAGAAAAATACGTGATAGTACCTAGTTAAATGTTTCAATGACCATCAATGAATTAAATATTTTAAAAATGAATTCTAGACCTTACTTTTCTTCTGAGTGTTATACCAGATCTGCTTTTAAATTTCAGTTACATATATATTATGAAGTAGAATAAATAATAGAATACGTAAATTTCATATCAGTGCAATATTTTTCAAAACTCGTTTTATCACTCCTTATTGAGTTAATGCCTCCTTCAAAACGGATTTACAAAGCTACAAGTTGTCAACGTTACAACCAGGCATAGAAACCCCTGAAGGTATGCTTTAACACGAGCATGTTGCATTCCTGTTGGTACATGTAGCCTTAAACACCAAATTGAATGCAAGAAATAATAGGTCTCGGGTAGGATACCTGGGGAAAAAAGTCAAGCGGACCGTGTCCTTTATCATTAACTATATTAAAAGATATGATGGGCGTTAAGAGAGTTAAGTACGATTTTTTTTTTTTATTTTTATGGACCTTTCATTAAAAATGACAATCATTTACACACTAATTCTTTCATACAATATTTTTTAAAGTTATTTTCAAAAACTTATTTATTTTTTGACCTCTACATTATTCCATCTAATATGTTCAAAAATTCAGATTCCAACCTGGCGGAACGGATGGACAGAAGAATCTGCTCGTGAGGTTTGTGAGGAAGCAATCTTAAATGATCCAGCTGAAAAGGAATGTAGAAAATACATTCAAATGGACAAAAATTCCAACATTGCTATAGAAGAATGTATTCTAGATATACGGGTAATTGTATAATGCAATTATACTACTTCCCTTCTTTCATTTCCTCACTGTTCGCTTACGTTTACCCAGTCTGGTTGACTGCAGTCAATCACTATTGATTCCATTTAAGTCATTAGATGGTATATTTCTCTGTTTGTTATGCAGGTTCCTGAAACATATGAAATTATTTAAAATGGTTCATGAACTAAACTTGTTTTTCATTTTTCATTTTTTACATGTATATATATTATACGGATAGATGCATATGTGCAAAAAATTGTTATATCCCGATCTTTCTAAAGAAAATTTAGGTATATTGCTATTCTGTTCGTCTGTCTAGCACACTATCTTTTATCTCAAACTCCTCTCATCACATTTTACGCAGTAAAATCATCTTTGGAATTTGATTTTTGTTGTACTATATATGTGCTAAACGATTTCAGAATTTTAATTCATATTCATCCAGAAGGCCCAAAAGAGGTCGAAATAGACGTTCTTTATAGTATAGAACCCATTTTTCCAGAACTCTTTTAGCATTTTACGCAGTACCAAAGCATCTTTTGGAATGATTTATGGGGTCCTCAGATGAACAATACGGATTCGGAATTTTCATTTTAATCCAAGATTCCAATGCAAGGCCGAAAAATTGAAAACGTTTGTTTTTTTTTTGTTTGTTTTTTTTTTCACACAAAACTTTTCTTCTACTTTTAAGGTCCTTTTAAACAGAATTTCATTAATGAATGAATTTCATACATTTGTTAAGAACGTTTTAGTTTACTTATATAAAAGGCCCTTGTATCAACTGCTAGCAAAAGCATTTTTATGCTCAATTTGATAATTGTTGATATACGTAAATCATAGAAACACTATAATGGGGGGGGGGGGAGGGGGGGGTTCGCTGCTTTATAAGGTACAAAGTAGAGAACATTTAGAAGCACATAATTACGTGTGGACATAACTGTTTATGCAGCATCTATTTTTTAATTTTAAAAAGTCAATTTGCAAAGTATGTGTTTTTAAAGGGAATATGAATATATTTATAGTACGAAGATATCATCCCTGTATTTATTTTTTTTTCTATATATTCTTACCTACAAGTCTAGGGCCAAATCACCCCTAACCACTTTTCAAATGCAGCATACAATACATTCAGCATCTGGTGAATCTGGTAAAATCAGAAAAGTTAAAATAATTTTTTTTTAATCTCATGAAAAAATTCAGTTCAAGTCGAGGGTAGAAATGCCTAAATTGGGAGGAGAAATTCGGCTTTGGCCATGGTTTGAACCTCAAATGAAATGCCAGTGAAGGGTTCCAAATTTGGACCAATACTCAGCACCTGTACCTAGGGCACATTTAAGCCAATGGTTGGGCGACAAAATTTTTCTCGTATCGACGGTGAAAAAACATAATCGGCTGATACTAGTATCGGTCGACGCAGAGTAGTCACATTAATTCCTAAAAACACCAATGTCTTTAAAAGTGAAAAAATTACAACTGTCGCTCGATCATCGTATGCTGAGCCGCAGTTTGATTTTCATCGTCGACCGATATTTACGAAAACCCAATCCCTAAATATCGACTGACCCGACGACTTAGTTAACAAATTGTCTGCCGATGGTTGGAAGATGATCGAAGGTTGGTCGACGGGCTATTCAACGATTGCTTAATTGAAGGAATCGAACACGACGCAGAAAAAAATATAACTTTGACCGTCAGACACAGAATTGGTCGACCGACGAAAAAGAGGTCAAAATTGAGCAAAACAACCCCCGATAAACTGCCGACTGTCGCCAAAAGAATCCTATTTTTGCCTTTGGACATATTTGGAAAAGTGACTTGGGTTTTACAGCTATTGAGCAGTGAGGGTTCTTGTCGTGCCATCGCCATTCATGAAATGAACCTCAATTTTTAAGGTCATATCCGAAAGACCCGTGACTTTCACTTCTAATGCCGGGCGCTTGGCGAATGAACCGTCACTTTCGATATGTATGTAACGTTGAAGAAGTTGAGAAAGGGTAACTTGAATCCGAGATTCATGTTGTCCGAATATTTTCTAGAGATAAACGTTTGTTTACATTCTGTACGCTCAATTTATGACTTGTGTTTACTCCATTTTACCTTTCTTTTTGTTCTCTCAGCGTTCATACTCCGTTCATAATTACATGTACACACTTAATTTCTAAAAGTTTAAATGCATTTGTTTTGCATAATTGTAAAAATGTGCTTCATTATATAAGGATTAAATAATACAGATAATAAGTATTTTAGAGTCTTGTTAAATACGGTGGCTGTAAAGTATATTTTTGACATACCAATATTCATAAGATTAATTACATTTCAAATTAAAATATTAAAAAAATCTTTCGTTTTTTTTAAATTAAAAAAATGTATGTTCATTGCTTTTTGCCAGACAATCTCAATTGTAATACAAAAAATAATAACATGAAAATATCCGTTTACATCATTTAGGATGCTGGGACCAAAGAATTTCTTAGCCATACTATAGAATCACTGAAAGAATCGTGTTTCGGAGAAGTCAAGAGATATGAAGAATTTTATAAGACCAATAGTAAACAAAAACTATCAGTGGTGGAAAAAATCGGTAAACTTGCTTGTCCAAGTAACTGCTCGGCTAACGGAGTCTGCAATAAAGGTAATAATTTTGCTTCATAGATATTTTGCTCTCGTCGCCAAATAATTACATACGTATAATGCATGAACTGAAATTTTTTAAAAGCGTAGAATTGAAATTATAATCCAATGAATATTTATATTCTGCATACGATAAAATTATTATGAAATGTATCATAGCTTTGTTTGATGATCTACATGTAAAACAATTTCGAGCAAAATCTATGCATACTTTCTTTTGCACTTAGGTGTCTGTACATGCGATGATATGTTTGTGGGTGATGACTGTTCACATAAAAAAACTTCTCCTCCGGTCAATACTACCTTACCGGAAAATGGCTTATGTAAAACAAGCAAAAGACCATGTGCAAAGACAAACATATTCGGCCATTTTATGTCTGAAACTGTCTACGTAAAATTTAAATATTTTTTGGTATGTATGATAACCAGTTTGAATCCCCCTATTTTACATGTTTAAATACAAAAACCAAATCAGTAAAAGTTCAAATGGATTAGATAATAAAGGAACTGTCATAGATCTGTCAAAACAACAATTGAGAAATTTTTATTACAATATTTAATCTGTATTTCTTTTCTCAATTATTTATTAACGGTTTGTTCTACCACTGTAATGTAAATAGACTTTAACTTTTTTTGTACAGTGAAGTGTTTGAATGATCTAATAATGTATCTGATTCGCTCTCCTTGTCATATTTGTTATGTTATCAAATTTCACATGTTGACAACCTAGCGTAACAACAAACGGTTTGAGTTCATATAAGATTGACTTTTGATCTAACAAATTGTCGCTGCGACTGCTAAATCAACTGTTTGACTATAACAGAAACAAACTAATGTGTATGATTTAAGAGGTAAAGATGGACAAGTTGGGTAGTTCCTTATGGCAATAAGACTTTCACGCATCCAGATTGTTGACAGTGGTTTTAGCATTATCGATGTTTTTTGTTGTTTTTTTTTCATTTAATTTTCTGGCTATTTGATGATCATACCTTTTTCTTTGTAACTGTAGATTATGTTTGAACTTGTTCTACCGATTCGTAAATACATGATCTTCAACCCTGGTTAAATATATTAGAAAGCAATAGCATTATCTTGAAACGAGGTTTGGTCTTAGTGGAAATTCAAAGACAGTTATTATCATATATATATTTCAGTCTTTCTAGATCTTCTAATTATAAAAATCATATGGTGCTTGGACAAATCATATAAATCTAGTATTGCTAATTGTAGCAAGGAATGCAAATAAATATGAATTTATTAAATGCATTGCCTTTTACCGAAGCTCATACTTAATAGATATTCACTTTTTCAAAATCGGACAAAGAACAATAAGATCTTAATGGATCTAAAGTTGTTGTTTGAAAAGAATCAATTCTATTCTATTAATTACGTTTGTTAGAAAATTTAGAAGGCTTCAATGGTAAATGAACTTGGTTGGTCACGTGATCAAATCCTGGTTAGTTCGAAGGACTTGTCGGTAGATTTGATTGACAAGGTTCATTTCCAAGAGAACTCTATGAACCAATGCATTTATTGTTGTGGCTTCTTTTGAGCATATCGGCATATTCTTCCGTTAAAAATATCGTTTTCCTTTTTTTCAGATAACTGATATTGGTAGGTTGATCTCCTTATCAACACACACTACGAAAGCAACATACATAGGACCTACTATTATAAAGGCAATGTTTCCAACTGGCTTGAGAAGTAAAACATCGCATTCCCGGACGGTATATGGAAGTGGTTTTGATATAAGTTTATCATATGACGAAGTCAACTATGGGGAATCCATGTCATTAGTCATATATAATGATGATTGCTTCAGCTGTAACGCAAGAGAACTGGAATGCAACAAGACGGTATTTTATTATTATTATTATTATTATTTTTTTTTTATCATATTTTTTTTTATTTTTTATTTTTTATTTTTTTTTTTATTTTTTTTTTTTTTTTTTTTTTTGAAATTAGGGAATTGTGTACTAAATATGTTTACGTTTACTAATATCTATTGTCATTTTTGAGTCATTGAAGATCCGGAATATATACTCTCCTGTGTTTTTCTCCTTGCATCTGTAAACTCTGACTTCAAGGTTTGAATTATAAATACAAATGTCAATTTCTTTATTGTTTATTTCTTTTGATATCATTGTCAGAAATATTTATGGACAAGTTGAGAGAAATTAATTTTGTTAAAATTCTCCATATTGGATTAGAATACTACATTTAATACACAGCTTCAATAATGAAATATTGTTATGAATATCAGAAAGCTGCTCATCCGAGAATTAGTTCCATGGTGAATATCACCCTCATACACACCAAAAAATGCGCACTTATTATGTTTAAATCATATATGAAAATTGCAGTAACTGGAATTTTGTATTAAACTTGATAAAGTATACGTTCATCAAAGACACTATAAGAGAACAATTACTATATTGATCTCTTCCTCTAGAACCTGGTCTCTTTTTTATTTCCTATCGATATATAAGCCATGGTTTCTTATATAATGGCAAACGATATGATCTTATGATGAAAAGATACACTGCGATTATCATAGTAAAATCTCGATATGCGACACAAGAAAAAAAAATTAAAGAATAACACTCAGGTGATAGTTAAGGTTTATGGGCCATTTTTTTTTTTTTAAATTAACTTTGTAACATGAAGTAAAATATGAAATGTGCACATAGACAAGGGTAAAAGAGTAATTTGTAATTAGGACATCATAAATTTTGCTTAAGTTATAAATTTTTAAATTAAAAACTAAATTTTAATTCCAGACTTTCTGTTTCTAGAGGCCATGTCCAGAGACCACCACGCAAGGAGAAGTAACGAAGTTCAAAATATCTATTCAAAATGAATATGGTGAGATATTAAGAGGTAATGTTGTTTCATGGTCACGCCGGTGCTGCTCCATGCCCAAACTCTGTTAGGAATAAACTTAATCCTTGTTTTAATACTTTGTCACCCTATCTCTTATGTATTTTCATTACCTAATTTGCACATAAACATCAATTAATACTAAACCTTAACTCACATGCATATTAATACTCTGTATATTCTTAGATTTTGTTTGATCTTTCGGCAGACTGATTTTTTTGTAGCATGTTTGGCAAGTTTTACGCTGAAATCATATTATCGAAAAGGGTGTTTATTTTTGAATACTGTTTTTAGTACGACCAACTTTTTCGGAACTTTGATTACCACCGACTTTGAATTAAAACTTATTACTTAAAACATTAAACAACAAATTAATGTGATTTTTTTAATTTTCCGGTGTCATTTTCTGCAGCTTATGTGTGTTATTTTGCAAAGGCACGCATAATTGAACACATTTCTTTGTACATGATGTTGAACCCTATGTTTGCCATTTGACGTCAAAACTTATAGGGCAAACTATCGTTGAATGAAGTAAATTTGTGCCAAGTCATTAGCAAAAACGGGTGAATAGAAGATATGTATTTAATATTTGAGAATTCATGAGGTACATAAACTACAACGTTAACGCACTTCCTGAAATATTCCGGTGTAAAGATGAGTTATGAAATTCGTAGATTAATGACTGGGGTCATATTTCAATGTCGAAAAATGACCCCGGTCATTATTAAACTTCGAAAAATGACTCTATTTGCCTGTAGAAAAAGTGGCATCATCCCTAAAATCTGCATACCCTACATAAAGAAAAAACACAATAGAATAATGACCCCTTATAGATGTTGGTAGGGATAAACATATATTTTTCATTTTTGGTTAAAAAGATTAAGAATCATGTAACCAGGTATTGGATATTTTATCCACCTACTTGTCGTTGGTCTCTTCATTGTTTGTTTGTCACGTGATTTAGGGTAATAGAGAGAAAGGGGTGTTAGAGAGAGAGAGAGAGAGAGAGAGAGTTTTGTTCATAATACCAACCAAAACCTGTTTTTTTAAATTACCTATCATACCCATCCATCCACGCCGTCTAGGTAGACGGCTCTATCGTATACAGTGCAGGAAACTAATTTTGTTACAGCATCGATGCTGATTTGAATGCTTCCTTTGCTTGCTGATTTGAATGCTTCCTTTGCTTGCTGATTTAATGCTAGTAATCCTTATCCTGATGCTGTTTTATGACTACATGTAGGTCAATGCTACCGGAAGTAGCATCATGCTACCGGAAGTAGATAATGAATTTCAGCATTGCCGTTTAAAGCAATAAAAGTGCCTTTTACAATTATTTGATCATAATATTTCACTATGTATCAATAATGTGAATACTTTAACCAATATTCTTTCTTTCTTTTTTAACTTTTTACTGAATTAAACTCATTGATTTTCTGATGCTAGTAGGATAATGCTGATTTTATGTAGGTCAATGCTGGTTTTATCCTTTGCTTGCTGATGCTGATCCTGGTAATGATGTTTTTTAAATGCTGATGCTGATGCTAGCTCGATCCTGATGCTACTAATGCTTATGCTGATGCTGGTTTATGTAACAAAATTAGTTCCCTGCACTGTATGATATAGGGTCATGTAGGCTGGTAAGCTTTTTATCTATTTATCGTTATATTAATAATTTCATAGTTTTCAGTTATACATTTGATTTAAGCATATATTTATTTATACGTAAAGTTGATATTGTTATATTAACGGATATTTAAAGTAATTGAACTGCGTGTTAAGTATAGTATAAATGTAAAGTATGTTGTATGAATGTTGTAGGTTTAATCCATAATATAATTTACAAAAACCCAAGATCAGTTTGTATGAATTTCTACCGAGGGTTACAATCATAAATCAAAAGGTCCGTGGACAAAAATGCTAACCAGATGTACATGTATATATAACATGAGTATGTTGGTCTCATTAAATCTTTCGGAAAAAAAATTATATGTCTTTTATGATAAATTGACAACATTAATAGACTTCAATCTACACTTATGTCTATTTTGACATGCTTCTATTTTGATTTGTCAAGTGTATCTTGTTTTTAAGAAAGTTTTTTAAAAAAACTCATATATTCAGAGAGAATGTCTACCGGTTATTCAATCAGTGACATGTAAACAAGTGTTTCCGGTTGACCTCAATTGCTAACAGTGTTTATCCCATTTTGTAAAATGTCCTTTAAAGTATACTTTTCTCCTCTTACTATATTTAAGCTAGTTTTATGACATAACTAAGAATAATTTATCATATTAAGCAAAGTTTTAACAATTTCATGCTTTTTAACCATGAAGTTTTGGACTATAAATAATGTACAATTTTATTACAACTTAATGTTGCCAGAACTTTAAGAATTTTTGTTTTCTGTGGCTTTAATCTTAATTCTTATTGTAGTCAGGAGTGCAACAACACTGTTTAAGAATTATCGACGAACTTCATCTCTCTTTACAACAAAATAAATATTATTGCAGAAAGCGCTTGGTAATATTCGTAGTTGAAATTATTACATGTATGTCTATATCAACAGATATTTTTGAATGTTTTAAGTCAATTCACAGAATAGTTTTCATCACTTAAAATATATCTTTGACAACTATATATTACATAAGCAAATAAACATATCTTAAAGTCAAGAAAATATGAAAACATTTCTTTAAATGTGTAAAAATGACAGCGACGAACTGCTTTAGAAAATTTAAAAGAGATATTTTGTGTTAAAAATTTTAAAGCAATGTTTAATTAATCATATTTAAAAAAATACAAGTTGTCAGAAGTGCATTAAAATAAGGTAAAATAGGATCATTTTAAAATCTAGTATTTTTTATTTAAAAAATTACTTAATCAAACTTTTTTGGCTTAGATTTGATGAATTGACTAAATTCATAAAAAAAAGTATTATTTGTGAAACTTATAGCAACATATTATTTTTACTGTGTAATTCAATATACCTGATTGGTTTGCTTGATATAATTTGAAAAAATATATTGTACAATAATGACTTGAGTTACTAAAAATAACTTAGGGAAAATCCAAAGATCTGTTTATAACATTGAAAAGTCTTTAAACCTTACAATTTCTAATAATGAATTTGTCTCCTTTTTGGCTACAAAGAAAATAATATGACAAATATAGCCCTTTTATTCGTTCAGTCCATAGATTTTGATTTCACAAAAAAGAATATCATTTAAGCACGAAATGTTCAGTTCATAAGCTTTTCTGTGAAGTCGATATATCTATGTTTGCACTTCGTTCTCAGTCCATATTATGCTTTTCTGTGAAGTTGATATATCTAAGGATCGACCTCATAAAAAGGCTATATTATAAAATATTTCTTTTCATTAAAACTTTTCAAACTAGAATTGAGACAATTAATATTAAATAATTATCGAATAGCAATTTTTTTCACAATCACAAGAGAAAAAAACTCAATAAAGGTTAAGATCTAATCGTTTACATCCCTGACAGAAGTCTAAAAGATTAAAAAGTACAATTTCCTTTAATTGTTTAAGTATTTCAGGAAGTCTAAGAATGTAGTTATATTTTCTTTTTTAAAATGAAGTTCCACTGATAAAAATTCTGAAACATTTTTATGCATTTGTCAATTTTATTGTCACTTTGGAATTTTTATCTAGAACGTAAATACAGTATGATTTTATTATTGAAAAATATCTTCTGGTTAGTTGATTTTTTTTTAATTTTTCAATTTGTGGTCACTATTTTTAATTCACCCATATGCAGGTGATAAGGTATATTGGAACATTAATAAGGGAAGTTGACGATCGAAAAGTTGAAGTCATCACGTTTATCATAACGTTTTGTTGTTGGTTTGCCATTTGTGTCTTTTTCTACTAAAATATCCAGATATTTGTAATAGATCTAAACACATGTTATGCTGTTATACATTTCAATTGCATGTTCGTCCTGTGTTTGTTAGGAAAAAGCAAGAGAATTAAACACGAAGACCCAAACCTTGTCATCAATCACCACTTTTAAACTATGTATCACTCTGTTGGAATGGGGGTCATTTTCAACGGAGTCAATTTTTATAGGTTGCACAGGTAGAAAACTGACCCTTGGGGTTCTTTTTCTACGAAAAAGTACATTTTTCTACGTCTGGGGGAAGGGGTCTATTTGTCAACGTCGAATAATGACCCCCTTCGTCTTTACACCAGCGTGAAGTGTCGTAGTTCACGTCTTCATGAATTCTAAAGAAATAAATTCATCTCATAAATAGAAGTTAACAAAACACGCGCTTCTACCGACCGCGTTTTTATCCAGTGTTTGTTAAGAAGACTGTCATTTTGTTGCTTATTATATTTAAATATTTACTAGAATGCCTGCTCTTCATGTATTCTAATAAAACACGAAAACTTTGCTGTGTTAGAAAGTTTACGGCATTTGAAGGCTCACAGTATAGACAAATCCTCTTTGTTCCCTGTTCTAACAATATACTGTAGATTGGCAAATAATCACGATGGTTTTAATTTCACTATGTTCGCGATTTATCATTTTTTCTGCGAAATTAAACCCATCGAGAATGCTATTATTAGTTTTTAAAAACGTTTAAATGCTTGTTCGAAATTTAATTTCTTGCAGCGTGAATTTAAAACCATTGCGATTGGTACGTTTTGGGAAATTGTGAAATTTTAACACCGTGAAATTAACACAACTTACAGTATCATCTCTTTACACTTTAAAATTTAGTCTTTGTAGATAGATAAGAGTTCAAATAAAATAGCTTTATTAACTTGTAAATTTAGCTATATTAAGCTACACTTGCGAAAGTACTTCTGTACATGTACCTATATATTTGTTTTTATCAATTTTATTAATTATTTATATTTATTTTAGATATTCTTCTTCCTCTGGGTATCAGTTTGTTTGTCATTTTGGCCATTGTTCTAGCCAGCATCCTCCTTTACAGAAAGCTTCGGATATCTGCCAAACCTTGCAGGTTAAATTACCATTTCTGTCCATTTTATTTCATTTTTATTATCATTAAAAAATATAT